GCACAGGAACCTTTGCCCAGGGCTCTCCTAGAAATACTTTGCAGACTGATGAGGCAGAGGTCACTGAGGCTGTGGTCAGGGTTTGTCTGCGTCTTCCCCACCTTCCTGCAAGTAATTCTCTGGCCATAGCTGTTGTGCCTAGTAAAGGTCAGGTTTAAAGGCCCTGTCTGCTTTCAGGCTGTGAAGGACAAGTGCTGGGTTCCTGGCAGCGTGGGACAGGCAGCTCTGCTCCTTAAAATAAAAAGTGGCAAGCAAAACCCAGAACAGACACTTAAATGATCCTTGAATGGTAGATCCATAGCCACAAGAAGCCTAAAGTGTTGGGGGAGGAAAAAAAAAGCTAGATGAGACAGCACTTCCCAGGGTGAAAAATACCACTCTGGGTGCTGCATTCCTGGAGCCCCAAGTGCACTCACTCCTGTGCATGGTGCACTGCCAGGGCAGGAGCACAGGCTTCTGGCTTTGCTCATCCGTTCCCTTCATGACTTTGAGCAACTTTCAGACTTTTCCATGCCTTTGTTTTTCACGGTGTGCAACCCAGGATGAATACCTTTCTTTCTCCCTCTCTTTCTTTCTCCCTCTCTTTCTTTCTCCCTCTCTTTCTTTCTCCCTCTCTTTCTTTCTCCCTCTCTCTCTCTCCAAGGTAATTAATGAACTGCAAAGCACTTTGATGTCTTCAGAGGGAAACTGCAGGCCAAGGGAGGCTGCAGTTCCTGCAGGAGGGAGCTGTAACCCCAGTCCAGCCCAGGACCCAACTGCGACCTGGGGCTAGTAGAGCTCTGGGCAGGGTGTTGAAGGCCACTCCGGTGAAACTTTCTGTGGGTCTGGGACCTTAATCAGCACTTAAATGCTATGCAAACAGCCTGAGTAGATAAGCAAATGCATGTGAAACCCTGTGGGCAACCTGTCATCAAAGGAAAGCAAGTGAAGAGAGCAGCACTGGGAAGGATGGCTGTGCTCCTTGGCGTGGCGAGCTCCGGTAAGACAGCCTGGCCCTCCAGTGCTAAGTGGCTCCATCCCACACTGCAGCCCAGATACGCTTCAGGGCTCTTCAAAGGGATAAAGATGTATTTTTAACTTCAGGCAGCTGCCTTTTTTTTTTTTTTTTTTTCCTCTAGAAAGTCATGAGGATGGAAAATAGGCAAGTTTCATTTGTTTTTAAGCCCCTGTGTTTCTCCTCTGTCTCAGCGGAGGTGTCTAGAGGTCTCAAACCGTATTCAGAAACATTTCAGTGCTAGAAATTGGTAGCCGCTTTTGAAAATGTTGGCAAGACTCTGCAGCTCCCTACAGACTTAACTGATGGCCATTTGAACATGCTTTCACCTCAGCCAAGTCCTCGCCCCTTTGAAGCCAATGGGAATTTTCCTTGAAAAAGACCATAAAGAAATTTTCTTGGCATGGAGGTAGGTGTTTCATGGGCTCCACATCAGTGTTCAGGAGAACTTCAGCTATCTGCTTTGATTCCTGCCACACTTGACCCACCCTGCACAAAGCTCTCTACCTTTTGATCCAAAATAGCACAGGAGATGTTTTCCACATGCCATAGGAAAATGGAAGAACTATAAAACATAATTGTTTTGGAATTTGGCACTGCTCCATTCACAGATATATTTAGTGTGAATTGAAATTGGTCAGCAAAATGGGTGTTGGCCAGGTTGGCAAACAGGATTAGGGTTGTGTATCTGAGGCAATTGCCCATCCCATGCCGGTAGGGTTGGTGGGTGGCTAAATAGGTTCATAGATAGTCATAAACAAGCATGCACAACTCACTGTTTTTGGGCAGCGTTAAAAAGCATTATCTGTCTGTAAAAGATGTTGTTTGGCTCACAACAGTGTTCTCCTGACCTTGAGTCTTGATGTCTCCACTGTTGTCATTGCTACTCAGCCCATTGGCTGTTTGGAATATGGTCCATTACACCTGATGCTCAGCCTCTTCCCATGCATGCAGCTCCTCTTAGGAAGGATACAGCAGTGTTTTGCAAGTGGGGCCAACCTTTTCTGTCCCATCTTCCTCCCCAGTGATTGAGCCATCTCTGAAAGCCTCAGGTCAGGAAGGCTCCTCCTAAGAGCAGCACCAGATCTGGGAGAGGGGAGAACTGTGATGGGACTCTGACATCAGCCCCAGGGGGATCAGTCCAGCTTAGCAGCAAGGTGAAGGTATGGCTCACAGTGGCTGGCTTCACTTTGGAGAGGAGAGCTTACAGTTGATAGCAGCTAGATCTTCGCAGCCTCTGCTTCAGGTTTGCTCTTGTGATGGTGCCCAGGGAGCCAAGACCAATCTTTCCTGTCCCTGGGTGTGTTCATGCACATGGGCTTGCACACTCTGCTCCCATCAGTGGTTTTCTTTGGGCTGATATTTGTTAGCATTGGAAAGTGAGAAAAATGAACAAAAATATTATCAGAAGCAGGTTTTGTGAATGAATCAGCCGACACTAGGCTTACCAGCTCGCCTTCATTTACTAGTGCAGTGCTTATTTGGGCAGATGTCTATATATTTGAGTTGGAGGCAGGAAGGAGTGAGAATTGATGGGGGAAGGCACCGTTTCCAGTTTGCTGCTTTTCTGTCAGCTTGTACCATTGGTTTTCTGAATGAAACAGGGGGCTGCAACACGTCTGAGATGCTGCCCTGCTGCTGCACTTGTTCTGCTGCAGTTGTTGACAGGTTGGTGGGATACCAAGGAGAAGAGCACAAAAGATGTTGTAAGGCTAAAGCCCTCCTAAGCAGCTCGCTGAGGATTAGAGCCTGGGCAGCCTTGCCTGTCTCTTGTGCGGTGCTTTTTCATTTGATCCTGTCTGAAGTGTGGCCTCATGGCCTTCCCTCTTCTCACTATATGTTTCTAATTAACGGGGAGACTGATGTATAAACAGAAGATTCCTGCTCAAAATATTCCTTGTCCAGCTCCTAGGATGAAGGCCAGATGGCAATTGCCAGGCAGCAGCCCAGACTTTGAGCTTGCCCATCTGGCTATCAAACCTGGTCCTAGTTCTCATCTGGAACCAGTATTGAGGAAAGTCATGGACTTTGCCAGATTGGTTTCGCCGTGTTTGCTTTTCAGTTTCTACCTAAGCAGCTAAAAACCTGCAGACCAAACACATTTAGTATTTCTGGGAAGCAGGACAATCCCAGTATTGGCAGATCTGAGGCCAAAACGGTGAGGAAGTTGAAAAGGATGTTGGACAAATCCATTGAGGAATGGGTCTGTTGATGGCTTTTAAATCCTGTGGGTCAGGTGCAGTCTCCAGCCTTTAAAGTCCTTTTAGTGCTGGTCTACAGCACAAATTAGACATGGTCTTTTTGACACATGTCCCCAAGCAACTGCTGATGGCCTCGTATGGATAGCATGCTGGGCTGGCTCTTTGATCCAGCCCACTTGGGCCATTCTTCTGCCATCAGTTTGCAGGGAGCTGAACAGTTGCTGAGTAAGTTCAGACAAAACTCTTTTTGCAGTTACTCCGATATGAACCTGGGTTTGTAACACCTGAGAAGAGCTTGGAAAGCTGTGGCAGAAATAAAACACTTGCTGTCATGATAGTAGAGCCATGCCCTGACAAAACATCACCACGTAGGTTCTGAAAAAACGGGAATGTTAAAATCTGTAAATGCTCTACATGCTTGGTCTTCTAAGAAGCAGGAGACATCCATAAATTAAGAATTGTTATATGAGCTAAATTATTCCTTTCCCTCTCTTGTATGCAGTTTGATGCAATTTCTTTATTTCTGTATAAGTGCCTGAGTTCTGAAGTGCTAGAAAGCCGAAATCGGAGGTGCCAGAGAGAACAATGATGTTGGGAGGCTGGGTGCTGCAGTTCCTGCTTGGCACATGCTGAAAGACAGCTCGTGTTTGTCACCACTGTAGGACCAGGATGACCTGGTCTGTCACTGGTGTGGAACCTGTGGAGCTGCTGAAGAGCTCCTATATACAGATACGTACTTAGCTTGGCTTATTTTGGTGAGAGGTGACGTGCATGCATGGGTTGAATCATGATTTGGGCTGGTAAGGACTTCTGCAGATCTTGGTCCGAGCCCCTGCTTAAATCAGCACCAACTCCATGTTAGATCTGGCTACAGTATTGGATATGTGTGCTCAGCCAGATCAGATCAGATCAGGCACCAAGGAGGGCTCAGCTGTCACCTTCTGGAGCAAGCAGAAGGAACTGAGATCTGTACTCATTGCCACTGTAAAGTCCAAAGGGATTGGTGTCTGCAGCATCGTGACCATCATGTCCTCCTTTGGCCAGGATTGCTCTTGGAAACTGCACCCAGTGAACTGGGAAAATGTGTAAAGCAGAGTGGAAGAGATGGTAAAATTCCAGTATTTATCCCCAGACTTCTGCTAACTGAGTTTGAAATGACTGGATTAGGTGGGGGTCTTGTGGCTCGGAGCACTGGCAGAGTTTGGCCTGGGATACATGGGGCTGTTCCACAGTCAGCACAAGTGGCCAAATGCAGAAGTAAGTGGAAGCTAAATGAGTAAAGCACTGTATGAGAAATGATGTGAAAGATGATCTGGAAAGGACAGTCACTGAAATGGCAGGATCTTCGAGGGAAATTGGAGTGGTCATAAAACAGAGGCAAGGTATTTCTGAAAGCAGACCTGAGGATTTATTTTAGCACATTAATACTGAGTAAGTATTCCTGGAGATACTCTGGGGGATGATAGATGGACTCAAGGTATTGTTACTAATAGCCGTGGCTTTAAGTTTTGGAACAAAAGTACACTTGGCATCCCAAACCCAAGTGGACTTCTGATGGGAAAATTACATTCTTCGGGAAGTAATTTAGAAGGTCAAAGTAAAACCAGAAAGAACTTCTCCAGCAGCTATTTCCCTTGCTCTCTAAACTGTCTTTTAGTGTGGTAATAACTCCAAAATGAAAGGTTCTATTCTCACCTTCCAGATGAAAGGGCTAATGCAATTTAAAATTTTTGCATGCAAAGGTTTTATGGCTTGGGAACCGGCCATGCTTGAAAGCGATCCAGGATGGGAGGGACACGTGAGAGAGTGCCTGGCTGAGCTTGACCCCTCCCTTGTCTGCCCTGTCTCCTGCAGATAATGGTGATGACCGATCCGAGAGCATCCTGGCTGAGAATCACGTGGATGGCACGGCGGGGATCCTGAGTGGAGCCGGTGGGAGGAAGCCCATGAAGACGGGCATGAAGGAGCTGGCGGTTATGAGGGAGAAGGTGAATGAGCAGCAACGGCAGATGGGCAAAGTTGGCAAGCCCCATCACAACCACGAGGACTCCAAGAAGTCACGGCTGTCGACGGGCAGGGTGAGAGGGCAGGGGGTCTGAGGAGCTAATGGAGGCAGGGCTGACCTCAGGAATGCTGAATGCAAAACCCTAGTGACATTTGCAACAAACTGTCTTAAGAAACGGGAAAAAATGGGGAAGAGAAGGAGAGAAAATAAGGAAAAGTTTGCATTGGCCTAAAGCTAGGGCTGAGCACACCATCTGATGAACTTTGATGTGCTGGCAAGGAGACGTTATTTTCCTTGCAGCTTCACCTCCTGACAGCAGAACTGGGAATGGGGGTCCTGCTGGCTCGACACCTACCCCGGCAGGGGTGCGAGCATGCCCTTCACCCACAGACCAGCTTTCTCACACCCTTTTTCCCTAAGCAAGTGTCAGGGATGGCCCAAGGGGATTGGGGCAGGGGAGTATTCCCAGTCCAGGTTGAGGGCGGGCCAAGAGCCCCCGAGAATGGGCTGTAGGGCTGTCATATAGCAGCGTGCCCAGAGTCCTCCCTGTCTGCTCCTTCTCTGTCCTGTCTCTCTGCCCTCCAGTCCTTGGCCGTGGTTTCCCTCTAGTGGGCAGCTTGGTCAAGGCAACTAAATGGGATGATGATGGAAAGCCACCCAAAAAGGTCTATAATACATCTCTCTATAAATATACAGGATATTTATATCTAGGGATTGCAGGGACAGAAAGGGGCTTTAAAAGAGATCCCTCATCCCTGTGCAGGCACCATCAACTTAGATAGCTTCCCACACTGCTGCTCCCCCTTTGGAATGAAAATGAACCAGTGACTGCAAAAGCAGAGAGGCGTAGAACCTCTCTGGATCACATCAGGTGTAATTCAGACAGACTGCCTTGGCTGGGAGCCCTGCCTTGGGGCTGCTGTGGAGCGAGAGGCATGCCTCCAGAGGCTGGCTTTGCTAGGTGCTCTCATTCCTGGGGTTTCCCCTTCACTCCCACGGGGTCTTGAGTTGTTTTGAGTTTACGCTTCAGGGCCAAAACTGCATCACAGGTGCAGAATCTGGGCCATGCTTATGGAAGACTTCCTAGTCTGGATTAGTTCTGCTTCATATCACTTGTCACCACCAGTGGGACCTATGGGAGCGTCTTGTGGCACCTGAGGACATGGTTTTATGGTCATGGTAGTGTTGGGTCATGTTGGCTCTTGAGCCATGTGAAGCTCACAGCACATGGGAGAGAAGTCTGTGTCTCCCTGTGTGGATCTCCACGTGTCAGCACGTGCAGAAGTGCAGCGCCCTGATTTTGAGTGCCTGCAGGTGAGGTCTGCAGTGGGACTCGGTGGCAAACCTGTGTCATGAGGAGGTGCATACAGGTGTTAACCACTACTGGTGTTGCTGTTGTCCAAAGTGTTGACACGGAATGGTCCTATTGTCCTGACTTTTTGTTTTGTGTTTCCTGGACTCTTTTCAGACCCCTTGTCAGCAGAAACAGGTCCTGGAACGCATCTCCACTATGCGGCTGCCGGATGAGCGAGGTCCCCTGGAGCACCTCTACTCCCTCCATATCCCCAACTGTGACAAGCATGGCTTGTACAATCTCAAACAGGTAAGTGGGGAGAGCCAGAGCCCTGGGGCTGGCCGGAGCAGCCCTCAGCTCAGCATGCATCCCCACCACGTGCAGCCAGGGAGGGTGTGCGCAGCGCCGGCTGGCCCGGTGTCGCGCACCCCGTGAGAGCTGTGGCCTCACACAGCAAACATCACACGTGGCATAGACGGGCTGAGTAACACCCAGGCGCATCTGCAGCCATGGGCTAGCAAGTGGAGATGTGAGACCCACATCCACATGTGGCTGCAGGCAGCCCAGAGGTGGAGAACCTCTTGAGTTCAGAGCCCCTTCTTCCCCACAAGAGCTGCTTGTCTGTCCAGGTCTATTTTCATGTGCTTTGAGCCAGGTCTTGTCCTGGCTGGGTGCTGGTACAGCGAAAAAGCAGAGAGGGGCTGAATGCTGGCCAGTCCTGCAGGCAAAGCAGAAAGCACTTCTGTGGTCAGGAAGGTTTCTAGTGCACTTTACTGGTTTTCCTCCACAAATCAAGGCAGCCCCCACAGCTCCAGGAGGGACTCTTTCCAGGAGAGGTGGAGGTTGGGGTGCAGCACACTTCTGAAAGTATTTATGGGACTCAAAAAGGACTCACAGGAGTTAATGAGTGTTTGAGTTCTGACATTTTGGCTTCATTTATGCAGCCACATGCGATTAGTACCTGGATACAAGTACCCCTTTATAGCTATGTGTAACTGAGGCTTTGGAGGGGACTCCAGAAAACCTGCTGTTGTCATGGCTAAGCCTTTTTCTCAGGGCTACCTGTACGCCTCGAAGGCTGCATTTTGACCTTTGTCCAACTGCAGAAAATGGGTTGAATTCAGCTTTACAGAGTGCATGCAAAGGCTGGCCTGCTGGAGTAAGCTCTGTCTTTTCCACTACACCCTATTCAGAGATGTATCTGCTGGGGATGGAGGGATGTGCATCAGATTCAGAGTGCCTGCAGCCCTTCCAGGGCAAGAGGTGGATGATAACCATTAGGGCAAGAAACTTCTCTCTAACCAGACCAGGCTGCGGAGGACAGCGTTTGGGTCCAGATGCACCACAATCCCTACCTCTGTTCTGGGATAGAGCAAAACCCTTTTTGGAAACGTGTTTGTTTCTGGCTGTAGGAATCTCGCTCTCCTGTTTCAGTTTGTTTAGCCTTATTTGCAGGTGAGAAGAAGTTTACACAGCTCCTCTGTTAGTCTTTCAGCCCTCTTCCCCCAGGGTTTTTCGACTGTATGGGTGCTTTCATCCACAGTTGACAGTGATGCATCTTAAGGATAGTTGTAGTTAATTAAGATTTGACTTCTTGGGTCCTGTCACAGCCCCTGGGGGAAAGAGGTCTAGCCCTCTGCCTGGACAAATGAAGCTGTGATGCTGGTGCAGTCCAGACCCTGGGGTATCTGTGTGCAACATCCCTGAATCTTGCCTAAATCCAAACCAGTGCTAAATTGCTGCAGTAAACCCCAGCTCTGCCTGTGCTCAGGTTTTGGGCTGGTGGGGCTGGGTGGGGGTTGTGTTGCCCTTTTCCTCAGCCGATGCCTTCTCTGTCCCTCTCTGTGCAGTGCAAGATGTCGGTGAACGGGCAGCGCGGCGAGTGCTGGTGTGTGGACCCCATCCATGGGAAGGTGATCCAGGGTGCACCCACCATCCGTGGGGACCCCGAGTGCCACCTCTTCTACACAGCCCACGAGCAGGAAGACCGGGGAGCACATGCCCTGCGGAGCCAGTAGGCAGACATGGTCCTGCTTGCTGGAGGTGGCTCGCCGTGGCCCCAGTGCTGGATTTTACATGGGTTTCAGCATGTCTCTTTAGGCTCTGGAAGAGACTGGGGTTGGGTCCTGTGTGCTGCCCTCCTTCCCCCGCTGCACAGCTCCTGGGGAGGGGAGGGGCGGTGAGGGGGTTGCAAGGAGAAGGGACTGCTTTCCTATACTCTTTCACCCAACCTAAGCCAGAGAATTGGTCTTTTTTGCTCCTCACCCTGCGGCCCTGCCCTCCCTGCTGCTTTGCGGCATCTGCCCGCACCCTCCAGCTCCCCAACACCTCCCCGGGGACAAAATGCCTCACCACAGGTGGGAGTGGGACAAAACAAAGGAAAAAATCCACCATTTCCCTCTCTTTCCTTCTGTTCCCCAAGACCAAAGACTGTAAATACTGTGTCGCCTGCCTCTTGTGTCCTGCCGGTCCCCTGTGCCCCAGCCTGACCATCAGTCCTGGCATGGGATGCTGTGTGGGAGGGAGGGAGGGAGGGAGGGACATCGGAGTGGCCGACAGCTGTATGTGCATGCAGGAGGAAAGCCCCCAGCTTCCCAGCTGGAACATGTTAGTGCTGTTGGGATTAATCCCCCGAGGAGGTATCAGTGAGGGAAAAGGCTAAGGATGAAAAAGCCCCCTGCCCCCCAAAACATGTCTAGGTGCTTTCCTTCCTGGTGCTGTGGCACAGCCAGCCCCACAGGGACCCAACTCCAGCTGCTGGTCTAGGAGGATGGGGCCTTTGGGTGACAGCAAAGCTAAACGCTTGGTTTCCAGGGAATTCGAAGGGTTATTGCCCAGTATTTCTTAGGATCAGCTTATGCTGAGGGAGCTAAAGTGAACTTGCTGGGGCTTGGTGGAAGGATGCCTGTGTAGATTTAGGATAATAAGCCAGGGAGTGTCTCTCTCTTTTGTTTTCTTTCTCATTCATTCTTTCTTTGTTTCTAGGTAGGAAAAAACCCATCTAAAACCTGCACTCCCAAGCAGCTGCCCGTGTCCCTCCATTTTTGCTTGGGACTGGAGTGAGCATCTGCTATTCAGCACACACTCTTTCTTTTTTTGTAAGTAAATTACAGTATATATCTTGCTTTGTAAAGCCCCTGACACACATGCACCCCTCTGCCCACACACACACACACACACAGATTTGCATAGATTAAATCCAAGTGATTTCAGGCTGACAGGTCTAGTGCTGGACATGCCGCTCTGAGGAGAGATGTCTCTGCTGTTATTTCACCTGTTGATTCCTTTCTGTACAGAACACAGTGATGCTGAGAATAGATAACTACCCCGTCACCGAAGCAAGGAGATTTTATTATTTCCTTCCTCCTTTTTTTTTTTTTTCCACTCCTTTTTAGTATGGATATAATTTGCAGAGCAATTGCAAAAATCATCTCCTTACAGTAAAAGTCTCAGCTTTCCTTAAAGGAAATCAAGGCCAGAGGAGGAAGACAACATCTCCCAGTTTCTGGCAAATGTAGCAAACAGCCTCCAGATCCCAGGTCCTCCGCAGGGTTAAGTTCAATCATGTGGAGGAATGAGGTTCCTTGGTGAGTGTGGGTGCTGGCTGGGAGCACCCTGTGCCTGTGTGGTGGGGACCAGGCAGTGAAACTACCTGACCGTGACCATGACCTGGCGACAGCCAGCATGCTCCAAAGACATAAAATAGTTCTGGAGAAACACCACGTTGGGGTCCTTGCTGCTGATAGCCCCTCATCTGGGGACTTTGTTCTGGAGAAGAAAAAACAAAAAGTCTAATGGGCTCTGGAGGAAGGAGAGTGCTGGGGTTTGGTACTTTTTCTCCCCCCCCCTCCCCGCCCGTTCTTGGCCCCACATTTCAGATCCCAAGTACAAAGGGCACAGGTGATCTTTGAAAATTTAAGCCCCTTATGACTTTTCAGGGGTTTGGATGTGGCAGTGGAGGAGCCAGGGAAAGGATCCCCTTTGGAGAGCTAGAGGTGGGTGTGTGCACATGGATGTGTATGAGAGCGAGTGAGAGTGCATGAGAAAGAAAATGTACCTGCATGCAAAGCCAAGTAACTGTAAAAATGATGCTACCTGTTTTCTCTTAACATCCAAGGGTGTTCTGCTTTTTCATGTAAACCTTGCACACGCTGGCTCTCATCTGCAGTTTGTACTTTTTTTTTGGTTAGGAATCGGGAAGTTTTCTTCTGTGTTTTTCTCTTTTGGAAAAGCTGAGCTGCATAAAGTTGGAATAAATTAAATGGGATGCCAGAAAACTCATCTTCCCGCCTCCCCTCTGTTCACAGGATGTGTTTCCTTGTCTGATGCATCACACCTGAATTTGGGCCTGTTCAGCTTTTGTCCAGGGGGTGTTATAAACAGACTGACAAGTGGTGATGGGTGTTGGGCTTTTCATTGTTGCTGGTCCTAGTTGTATGAGCAGGGAGGAACTGGTGTAGCTCATCTGCTGGCCTGCTCCACATGTGGTACCTTGCAAGTCTGCACAATACAATCACACCTTCAAAGTCCATGCTCATCTGCGCGGACGCCACCTCCCTGTCTGACAGCAGCTGGATTTAGTGGAAAAGGGTGGTTGTGTCCCACTTTGGGCAGAGGGGATGACAGCATGAATGCCCTTCATCCTCGTGAAGCTCCCTGAGCTGCTGACGAGAGGCTGCATAAGAGTGGTGGTTTCCTTCTTGAGCAGCGGAGCAGCTTCGCAAGGGAAGGTCTCTCTTAAGCTGCGCAGGGACTTCGGCAGATGCTTGGCCAAAGGCTGTAAGGAGGGGTTCTGCTCTTCCCAGCTTCCCACCCTTGGCATTTCAGGGGCTTCCTGAGCTGTCAGGGGCATCCAATCATGCTGTTTATTAGCCTGCAGATGGACCTGTTCTTTATGAATCATCAGGCTCCTTTGAGCTTCTGACTGTGATTCTGGCCTCCTCTGCGCCCCATGCAAAGAGTTTCTTGGCTAAGTGGGTTGCTGCAGGGAGAAACCCCCCTATGGGGGGGACCCTCCAAGTGCTCTTCCCTTAGCTTGCTCCAGAGGAGCAAAATGTGAGGCAGCTGAAAAGCCACCCTTAGTGTTTCCCTGTGAAGTCTTTGCCCAGAATAGGCTGCTGGGAAGGTGCAGGGAGGCCTGGGCTGTATGTGGGGTTGGGGTTTGACTGAGCAGCACCACTCATGGGGCTGTGGAGACAGGTCCCTTGAAGGTCCTGCACCTTCTCCCAGGGTGAGAGGTGCTGCCTAAGGGAACATAATGGCATGGCTCAGTGCTCGGGGCACCACAGGAAGGCAAAGAATAACAATAATAATAACCCCCCCCCCTACACTGCATTCAATTAAAATGGCAGCGTTAAAGGAGAGGCCCCGTGTAGCCCTGACAGCCAGCATCCAGGTGGCTGTGGTTTCCCTTTGGCCTCCCCAAAGGAAGGCAAAACCACCAGCCTGCTTCCCCATCCGTTTTGTTCCTCCCCCATGCCAGTATGCTGAGTGGGACCAACGTGTGCCAAAGGGCTGGGCCCTGGCAGGGAGCACCAGGAAAATGTGTGGGTTCAGGAGGCAGGGAGTGCAGAGAGCTGCAGGGCAGGGGGGAGCGCAGGCAGGATAAGGGTACCTTTTGTACTAACATTTTGTACCATCCTGTTTTGTGCCCCTGGAGAGAGCTGAAGGTGGCTCAGGAGATGCCATGGGAAGGATGGCAAGTAGCGCTGTGGGGCACGAGGGAGCTCCAAGCCAGGTGCTGCCCAGGGAGAGCTGGGGGTGGCAGAGGTTCCTGGGCCTAGAACCCAGCCATGCCTGGGGCTACCCTCTGGATCAAGGACCGGAGGGGAACAGGAGACCTCAGCTCAGCAAGGGGTGCTTGCAGTTGGCCAAGCATCCTGCAGAGGGGCAAAGGGACAGCAGTAAGGTAAGGGGAGCAAAGAGCTTCCAATTAAGTTTCTCCAGGATTGCAACATGCACTTGAAGGCTGCAGGTGTGTGTGTATGGGTTTGATGGGTGTCACTGCTTGGATCCTGGTTCTGGGGTTTTGTCTGGGCTGGCTTTGTGCCTCCTGGGCTCTGGGTAATTGGATGTGTGGGACCTGGGACCTGGCCAGCTGCACGTAGGGTACTAGCTGAAACCCTGGCAACTCTGGTGTACACATACAGGTCTACCTACACTGACAAACTACAATCTACTTATACTTGGTATAGCATTCAAATTAATGCACTAGTGTAATACAAACAATAATATTTAATATAATGAATATTAGTGTAAGACTGTATGACTGTATCTATGTACAGCTGTAGCTCTCTGTATACATATACATAGCTATAGCCTGTGGGTAGGAGTATGATTTCCTAGCCCACTAGCTGGGGAGGGGGAGAAAGAAGCCCTAATGTTTTGGGTGGAAAGCCCATTTTCAGGGGCTGTGTGGCTGAAAGC